TGTGCGTGTGGGCGGTGTGGATGTGTGCGGGTGGGTATGTGGGTGGATGTTTTTCGTGATACTGGCATATAATTTCCTTCCCATGCATGGTGGAGTGTATGGGTGGAATGGGGATGAAATTTGGCCAATATTTGGCGTCTGACAAGCCATTTCCGTCGGAAATCACGTCAGCTTTGTTATGTGTGTTTGTGCGCATGTGGGCGGTGTTTGTGTGTGTGTGCGGGTGGGTATGTGGGTGGATGTTTTTCGTGATACTGGCATATAATTTCCTTCCCATGCATGGTGGAGTGTATGGGTGAAATGGGGATGAAATTTGGCCAATATTTGGCGTCTGACAAGCCATTTCCGTCGGAAATCACGTCAGCTTTGTTATGTGTGTTTGTGCGCACGTGGGCGGTGTTTGTGTGTGTGTGCGGGTGGGTATGTGGGTGGATGTTTTTCGTGATACTGGCATATAATTTCCTTCCCATGCATGGTGGAGTGTATGAGTGAATTGGGGATGAAATTTGGCCAATATTTGGCGTCTTACAACCCCTTTCCGTCAGAAATTACGTCAGCTTTTGTATGTGTGCGTGTGGGCGGTGTGGATGTGTGCGGGTGGGTATGTGGGTGGATTTTTTTTCGTGATACTGGCATATAATTTCCTGGTCATGCATGGTGGAGTGTATGGGTGAAATGGGGATGAAACTAACCCGATTCGGGGTCTGTCTCGAAGGCTCCATAGTGACAACGTGTCTACCATTGACTCAAAGGGTTGGTTGTTTATTGATACACTGCTGGTTGTTAATTTAATAAATGATAATTTTGCATTACAAGAGTAAAAAACAATATCAAAGATATTTCAATACTAATTTCCCGTTAAATCTTTACCTTTATTATTGTCTGTCATTGTTTATGTTATGTGGAAAGAAATGAAAATAAATTCGCTCTGTATAGAGCGATTACTACTAAATATGAAGAATTATGCACAAATTAATATGATTTGTTTTTTATAATGATTGCATAATTTATAATAAAATGAGATGTTTACATTTCTGTAGTGTGGAAACGTGTTTCTTAATCCCTCTCTTTCTTTCTTTGTCTACTCCTCTTTCTTCTACCTTTTCTATTTTTTCTCCCTCTACCCTCCCATCTCTCATTATCCCTCCTCATTATACACTGTCTCTCGATCCTCTCTCTACCCCCTTCTCTCTCTTCTCTCTCTCTCTCTCTCTCTCTGCGTGTCGTGTCTCACTATCTTATTCGTAGCTTTCCACATAATTTCCTTAGCGATTGTCTGCCGCATTATACGGTTGATTGTACCAATCGTTCAATGGTCTATCATTACACGCATGACTACGTGGCAGTATGTCAATGCACTAGCAACATTCTTCCGCCCTTCTCTGCGTATCTGTATTCTCAATAGACCGGATTACTAGCATATTAAAATGTATGTGTGTTTCTTTCCTGGGGACCTAGTGAAGAGCTATTCCATTAACCTGTTATTAAAGATAAAGGTGAGTTCTGGTAATGCGATTGCATCGTGAAAGAAAAGGTGTGGAATGGATCAGAAAAAGTTGATCATGTAGCATGTAAGTATTGGTGTGCACTGCCTGCAGGGTAATTGAGTCAGCAAAATCATAATGAATTTGGCGCAGTCTTGGTTAAGTAACAAGCACTGTGAACAGAAAGATGCATATGGGACTACACAAATCGTGTCGGGGCTAGTACTACCTGGATTTCCTTATCTTTCTATGCTCATTACTCAGCCAGTACACATTTTCTTCCAAAATTGTTTGGCACATGTCATTTATTTGTAATCTTGAACATTCTGTGTAAGTTTCGTTTAATTCTGTGACAATTAATTTTCTTTTTTTACCAGAACTAAAGTCTATCATTAATGAATAGACTACAATCCTTGGAATCCATTCTGCAACATTACTTGTTGGTATGTTGGACAAGCATCGGGCAACCGCTCAGGTTGTCAAGAACAACCTTTGTTTTAAAAGTATGCATAACATTTAAATATATTAGTAAACAAGTTTATTTTTACATGTTGCTTCTTTCAGGGAGCTTTGAGTTAACTTTGTGAACCACGACGTGTCGGCCACTTTGCAAATATATTTAAATCTCAAGCATTTAAACATTTCGCCCGACAAAGCAACAACTCATGTTTGGAAGGTGAATTTCATTTGATAATATTGCGCCAATAAAACCAAACAAATGTCAGCGAACGGCAATATCTGCAAGATGGTAGTTCATATTACAAGTTAAAGAGAGCGAGAGAAAGGAGGGGGAGATTGGCTACATCGATTTTTATCAAAGTCTGATTATTATTTTTTTGTATCTGTCTTCGGATTTTCATGGTTACTACGAGGACCAGATAACCGTGATTAATTGATTCCAAGGGAAAGTCAATCTTGATATCAACATTTTTTTAATAAGAAAAAATTAACAAAACAACACCAAGTTTATCACTAAAAAGTGTCACTGGTAATATGAAAAATTGTATGCTTTTCCTCATGAAACCAACGTATTCCTAAATCGATAAAAATCCGAAAATGTTCAATTATCTTGGCATCATAAGAAGTATTCAAAATTCAACTGGTCTGATTTTTTTTACATTAAGGTTTGATAATTATATTCAAGCACATTTTTTCAGTGTGGCAATCCTTTTTGAGTTGCTATTTTGCAATTGTATAGCCTTCTCTCGTGGTTAAATTGTCACGGTGCATGAATCTATCTTAAACTATGTGTAAAGTATCAAACTTAAATGACTGGATGTTTAATTTTGTTTAATGTTATTTTTTCGTAATAAAAAAGCATGAGTAACATACAATATAGAAAAAATATCAAAAACGATGGATAGCCCATTTCAGGTGCAATGTCAGAGAACAGCTGTTCCGTCCATGGGGCCCTTTCATTCTTTCAAAGCATCATTGATTATCCGCATAGTAGGGCTTTCATCTTAAATTTCGCAATTGAAGTATTTGAATGATTCTTTTCACATGTTCATGACATTATTGACCGATGGTGCGATATGAAGAGGAATTAAATAAAGTCTGATTTTTTTAGAGAAAAACTTATATGTGTTTAGACGTGACAAAATCTTCTCTTTATCTACCTTTTGCAACATTCATTAAGACACTCTGATATAAAATCTGGTATAAGCTGTAATGAAAACCCCAAAAGACATATTCACTGTTTCAGCTATTTATTCATACGCATCTTCTAGTGTAGAAAGAATGCAAATATTACTTATATTGATACTATTAAAATTTGTCACAAAAGAAAAGTTTTCACTTTAAACATAAAAACTAAAGAAACCATATAATTCAAGCAAGCCACTTAGTTAATTAGAGTGGCAGTACAACCTTGGGGGGTTACGCAGTTACTCAGCTTTTTTTTTTTTTTTTACTGCATAGGAGATGATCCACCATAGGACAATCGTTATAATAATAATAATACTAATAATACTCAGTTTTTATATAGCGCTTATTAGAACTCTTAAAATACCATATGTCACATACAAGGTGTTTATCAAAATTGGAAACGAGATAAAAATTAGCCCACAAAAGTTCTTTGAATCCTATTCAACATTCTTTACTTCACTTCCTCTCTCTCTCTCTAAATATATATATACATATATATTGGTGCGTGAAAATATGACAAAAGTTGTTTTAAAGAATACAACGCGATGCTAACAGATAATTTATACTGTTATCATAATATCAATATTCACAACGGAAACAAAATATTGCTGATGACCATTGGAACAACATCAAATGCGACTATTAACCCGTCAATAAAATTATATGGTGTTGTTTTGATAGAAATAATTTTATATCCCACTTTACATTTGCAATGATAAGTCGTGCTTTTTCATTGAAACATACAAAGACAAAAATATTATGAAACCATGCATTAGATTATATATTTCTGCCAAACAAACTGTTGTTTTGTCCACCTTCAACTTAACTGATAACCGAAACTGTTTTATTGAATATAGGTATATGTATTAAATTACCTACGGTCGTTTTGCTCAGACGAAACGTTGACAGAGATATTAAGATATACCAAGAAAACCACACAAAGAAAGAATTCTTGCCTTTTTTTTTCCTCACAAATAATTCGTGGACAACTTCGATCAATGTCCATCAACATGATCATATGGACATTTAACAAAACCAAAAGTACATTGACAAAAGAGGCAACATTTCCCTTTTAAATAGAGTTGTAAAGCTAGTAAGCTACAAAGTTGGTATTTCTTTGTTCTATTATGAAAATAATCCAACCACTTTCATTTGTTATACTCTCTTGAAAAATCAATATAGTCATCGCTTTTGGTTTGGTAGAGCAAGGCCTTACAATATTGCTTCGTAGGAGTAAACAGCTGTAATCTAATGTTACGACCTTCAGGGCATGATGATGTAGAGCAAATGAAGAAAATTTATCAAATATTGTCATGAATTTGAAATGCCATAAAACATACAACATATGGAGACTTAACCAAGAAAGATCGGTTGTCAGTAAAAAAAAATGCACATGATTCGATATAAAAACCTTGTTTGGGTTACATAGAAGCAAGATACTCCTTTTACAGCTAATTGAACTATACTGGTATCGTATTCACAAGAGGATATTAAAAGTCGTAATGTCATACGTTGAAGAAGGCTGGTATAATTATTTCGAAATTTCTAACCGTTTTCTCTATACGATTTCAGATTGTTTATAAATTGACCTTAAATTCGTTTATCATCGAACTACACACTGGAATTAAATAATACCTGCCATAATCTCCGCCACTTTAGAAAGCTCTGCTCAAATATATGCACAATACACATACACTACTCAAGCGTCCCTTTATCGCGAACTGGTAACATGATGCCGAAAAAAGCAATCTTCTCATTTCGTAAAAAACAAATCCATTATAGCGTGTATCTCCAAGATTTGATTTATTGAATTTCATCTGTAGCGAGCCAGAAAAAGAAGAGAAAGGGAAAGCAAGGGAGCGCAAAAGAGAGCAAAAGTGAAAGAGAGAGAAAGAGAGAGAGAAGTATGTATAGCTTCCACATAATTTATATGAGGGAGAATAGTGCATTTAAAGGGGAACCCATTGAAAATAGTCGATGGAATAAAAACCGCCATATTTATGGATCAATGCATGTTACCTAAATTATAATTCCTTTTAAACATTGTAAATGTTTCCTCTTTATCCCTCTCTTCAGAATGAGCTTTCCTCTTAATTCACATTTTCTCTCTTTGTCTCTTTCTATTTGGTGGAAATAATTCTTGTTACCTACTTGATTTATGAAAACGATGTGTTCTTCTCTTTCATCATCTGATCATAATCTACACCTTTTTTTAAAGAACTTACATAACGACATCCGTTCATGACTACAAGGTAAGACTCATCCAGGCTTTACGAGACAAGATGAACTTTTCTAGCTAAAGTAGCAATTTATCCATTAACAGTTTTTACAAGCGTATTCGGTCCTATGAGTAGGCAGCATATTCACTAAAACAAATAAATTCCTCTACTATTTACTAAGACACAACCCTTGAGCCATCAATAATTTTTATCATTAATCCTGGAAAGATAAATAATCTCATTTCTAAGCAACAAAGTAAAACAAGGTAAACTAGATAATGTTGAAATAGAAAAAGCTCTCACTAATTCACGATTCGAAGACCTTTAGAGTGAGTGTAACGAACACCAGGGGATAGATAGTTGGGATGCTAAAGGGGAAAAGGGAAAATGCATTGTACGTAAAGGATGCAGCACCGAGCGGACATGTATTATGCATATCATTATATTGTTTTTTTATACATAATGCCGGGGAAGAATGGCCAGAATTGGGTCAGGTAAAATATATATGGCCTAAAGGATAGGAATAGGCGCAGTCAATTTAATAGCAGAATTGTTCTTTTTCTTTCCTACCGCGGTTAACAACGTTTGTCCAATAAAAGTGGAATATAGTGGGTATACTTTATACCTAAGACTACTAGTGTTATAAAGGGTGTCGTCTACACTGCTAGGTGCGAACTTGATATTGTAGTCATTTGGTTTATGAATTATAAATGTGTCATTGGAGAAATTCAAGTACATAATATATTAGACTTACTGAACCCTTGAATAAGAGGATGACAACGATACGCTGACATTACGTATTGCTACTGTACTAGACAAATGGATTTCAGAATAATCGAGTTTACTCTCGAATATTCCCTGCGCTTAATCAGGTTTAAACTTCACCAACCTCTTTCCTTTTTAAAATAAATTTATATCTCAACTATTCCTTATCAATAACAAGCTTTAATCTTCACTTAAACACATCTCTTAAATTGTGTGCATATAAACCCCTTTTCTTATTTTGTAGGAGTGTGCTTGTGTGGAAATATAGAGGAATATGACAAACAAGGGTACTGAGAGATGGCGATAGAGAAAAAAGATAGCGAGAGCAATGGAATAAAAATAAATAGCAAGAATGAAGTCCACGACCCCCAACCCATTCACACACCCACCACCACCGTCACTGTAATTAATTGACAACCACACACTTCTATTACATCAAGTGACAAACTTTAAAAATGACCCTTAAGATATATATAATTGGCCTAATCCTTTGTAATTTGACGCATAAAATATTCGAAATAAATCATTGCGATTTTTCAAAACCTTCACAAATACAAATTATCAAGACAAAACACAGGTAATGTAAAAAGGTGTAAGAAGAAGTAATTATAGTTTACCGATCACATGACTTTTAAATTGACATTTTCCAAATATCCACATCCGTTTATGTTCTCAGAATAAGCTGTAAAATAAAGTAATTGAATTAAAGCTGTACGAAGAGATTAACATGGGTGATCGAGTGCTTTTATTGCAAAATCTAAAGGGCAAAGTAATGATATCTTTCCCATTAATTAGATTCACAGCAGCAGCAGCCTTTCTCCTGTACAAAAGCGTAATGTGGCAAGATAACTCTGGAACAATACGTAGAAATGTCAGACAATGCCAACAAATTCAGAATAGGAGCACTAGAAGTGGTTTAAATATGTGAAAGGTTAGCCTGTATTCAAGATTCTTCAACGTCAATATATCTTACAAATTAAATTTACCTCACAGATTGTCTGGGATTTCGCCCACAAACACACTCACCCACACCCACACATGTTTTTTCCTGATCGCGCTAACCAATTTCAATTTACTCAAATGCGTTCATGACGGAGTGTCACGGATCTTTCGAAGGGGTATAGCTTAGCTCTGATCATAATTGTTGCCACCAATCCTACCACTGACAGATGCATTGACGACAAGGGGTCGAGAAGGTCACTTTGATTTTGTAATGAGTTTCATATCGTAAGACAGGACCATAAGCCCCCACAATAATATGCTTATGGGACAATCAGAAGTAGGTATTGATGCTTTCCGTTACCTGTAATCACTTTGTCTTGGATCACCCGGTGTCCGTTGTATCCAAAATCTACCCATACGCATGGTATGTGATAGAGTTTGAAAGTTTCTCTAAATTAAAGGCCTCATCGTGTCTACGTACGCCTTATGCTTTTTTAATTATGATACTATTGCTCTTGATTTGGGTGCATCTGTTTCACTACGCAAATTACTGATTTCACAATAGCATAACCTACTTTCTGAATGCATAACGAACAATTAACATATTACGTAACAAAGACAATTGCACTTGTACATTGTATATTTGATTCTTCTCTTTACCTAACAAATATATCTTAAATCTTAATTGCTTGGTCCATTTTCAAACATACACGATATAAATAGTTACGCTTTAATTATTGAACTCTTTGGTTGAAAATGTATGAAGCACATTTGAACTAATATTCACTAGCCTAGAAAAATATCTACAATATGGATCAGTGTATTTTGCATGGAATTTTGTGTTATCTTTCCTGTTTATCGTGGCGTTGTATCTTCGTCCATACATATTTTGAAAAAAAAGTGTTCCAACAAACAATTTCGCGATCAAAGACAATCAAAAAGTCGTTTTGAAAATAATATATGTTTCATTGTAGTAAAAGTGAATAAATATCAGTATGATACTGTGAATGATTTTCCCTCTCTCGATTGTAATACGTAGATCTTTTTGGCGTACTTTACACAAACATTTACATTACTAGGGTTTTTCCTTTTCTATGAATTTTCTATATCATTATTTCATTTGTTTTGGAAAAAAGGAAAATTGACACATGTTTAATCAAATTTATTACGTTAGTTTTATAGAAAATTTTGTTGCTGTTTACCAAAATTATTTTTTATTCAAAGTCCTCTAAATATGCGTTAATAGTATCAACCCCTGAAATGCACCAGCCTAATAAATTTGGTAAATGAAAATCGTTCACTTTTTCAGTGATATCTTTACAAACCTGGAAGTAAAAGTAACAGAGTTTATATATATATAGATGCAAACCATAAATGACTACAGTACCAGACCGCATTTATAATGAATTCACTAATGAGGTTTTTTCTTGGGAAAGACAAAACTAAAGAAATAAAATATGACAAATGTTCAAATCATATCAAGAAAAGACGATGTGTGTAGAGAGACATGGAATGAATAACCTCGTTATTAATCATACAAATTCTAGTCCCTTACCAGAACGGACCAGTTCTAAATCTCACATTATGTTACACACCCCACATTGTCTCCACGCACGTAGAGGTATCCGATATGAAGACGATTGTCCTTCTTTATTATTTCCTCCTGCTGTTACTACCCGAACTACTTCATTAAACACAGAAGCTACATGCCAGTTGAACTTGGCCGAACATTCTACATACGAACATTTCCAGGTCTTCTTCACCATCTGGGAGATATGCCGTCTCGGTACCCGTGACATTCTCTGTAAATCTTGTTTATTGCCTACAACGATCATTGGTATCTCATAGCCTATGGCATCCGACTCAAAGCAGTCCAGGATGTGTTCTCTTAGATCCTTGATATACTGGAAGCTCTCTGGAGCAGTGATATCGTATACAAAGATGAGCACTGATGCAGTCCCGATGGCGTTAGCATAGGATTGAAGTTCTTCCCAGGTACAAGATGCGGCAGCCCGCCTGCAGGCTCGCCCATCTAACGGGGAATACGGTATGACTGGCATATCAACTATACTCATCTCATAGATCTGTTCGTTAGCTACAACTGCTGATGTGTACACGCATGGTTTGGAGGTGGAGCGGTACCGAGATGGTAGTTGGCATCGTGCGAACTGCTCCACTATCGATGTCTTTCCTACACCGGGACCACCTATAAGAACAACATCAATTTGGCTCTGATCCGTAGGGGGAGGAGTTGACCCCGGGCCACTGCCGCCCCCAGGCACGCGGCCCCCGCGTTCCTCCGTGTCTGATTTGGAACCCTCCGAACCCAGATCGTCTCTCATCGGTGTCTACTTACAAGAGAAAGTACGAAGAGAAACGCATCAAGATCACAATCCGCGTTTGTGAAAGTAATCGAGGTTCACGTCTTTTAATTCTAATTCAATGTCACATGACTGAGACAAACCCGAACAAATTGTTGACAAGAAAGCACGGGAACACTTCCGTGGTTCTGGAGCAAGATAAATCATTAGAGAACATCAGGTGGAATGGAATTTCCATGATGTGTTTATTTGATTAAAATTGTATATGCGAATCTTTGGAGTACTAGTAACTCAGACAAAAGCACTTTTTTCGTGCGAGGAACATAACGAGGAAGACCATCTCATTATGAAGAACAGATTGCTTCTGTTGTTTAATTTGCCGAATTATACATGCCACTTTCTTTTTAAAAAGTGGTAGCTCCAACACTTTTCATGTTAAGCGAAAGTGAAGCACATTATATTCAAAACGGTTATTGCAAGCTAATGCCGTTCAACTAATGCTCAATTTCACTTCAATAAAGAACGGCCTTATAGTTGCATGTCCACGTAAGCTCAAGACATTAATGTAACATTTCCCATCATATCAGTATAAATCAAGCAAGTTCATTTCCAAATGCAGACACACAATATCTCCTAATAGAAGCTGGTAGCTATCGCGACAGACTCTCTTTCAATCCCATGGTGTCTGTTTTAATCAGTGTGTACGGATAAAAATGTGGAAGTCCGTTTGAGCGAATATCGTGTGTATTAACAATTTATAGAGAGAAATAAGTTGAAATTCATCAAGGACACTGAAGGATGGTGACGCCGACTGAATATATTATCATGTTCAATTTGTCTGAGGATCTGATTAGATGAAGTATATTGTGAAGGTTGTATAGAAGAATAGAGTGCAGCGATTGCTCTCAGTCGATAAGCTATGTCGAATGCTGTTACTCGATACGGCTCCTCTAGCTGGCAGGTGTCTGGGAGTTATTTCTTCCGCAGACGATAAATGAATCAGCCAAATATGTATATGTATTGGGCAACTTCCTTCATACGAACGTCGCAGGTGTTTCGACTGTAAAGAGGAATAATGCAAATAAGACTCGAAGGCTGGCCATGCATTTTAATATGTTTCTTTTCACCGCTTTATAATACACTGAAAACAGCGAAAGCTGGCCCTCATAAACCTTATGTTCGTATAACTATGACAATGACATCATCTAACCGCATTGAATATCAACGCTTAATAGTTCGACGCCTGATGTGAACCAACATTCATCCAGCTCAAGAGTATAATTATTCAACGGCTGCGTTGTGAGAGAACAGCGAGGATAATGTGTCATTATTAATTTCGCTTTATTTCGCTTTGCGGAATAAACAACAGAACGCTTATATGATGCAGATGTAAGCAATCCTCGGAGAATCGATACATCTGAGGATGCGGACCATGATAGATCGATAGCTAGGTATGTCAAGGCTTCAGCATTGACAGGGAGAAAATACTCTCGGGCTCGGGGTAAAGTAGACACGTGACAGACTGGGGGAGCTCGTTGAAGATCAAAGCTAACAAACTCAGTCGCAGCGTATAGGAAGGTCAAGTAAGTCAAATCTCATTACGATATCCTCCAAAAATACGAGAACCAATTTTGCGAATTGGAGTAATTCCAAGGGAGGCAGAAGATTTTATCTTCTTTCTAGTATGTCATTTTGAACGTAGAATTTGTACTTTATCACCTGTTTCGATGATCATGACCTTGATCAGCTATGTGGCTTTCCTTCCTTGTTACATGAAGAAACATAATCTGATATTCATTGATAATAAGAGTGAAATCATTGAATACACTTAGATCCTACGAGTCTATATAGAATACAGTTTAAAAGCGAAGTTAAATGAAAATGTCCAGGGAGAATATAGGTGCATATAGAGGTATGCCGACGGTCCACGCCTTCTCATCTATATTTTGAAAAAGTAGGAAGTAAGTCTTTTGCTTATTTCTTCAGTTTCTAGATTCTGACAGCGTTCATCATGGCTGTCAGCAATTACACAGCTTTACAAAATACCACCGTGCTCTCCGTTTCGAATCTTCCATGATACACAATATAAACACGACGAATCAACGAAGGGTATGCAATGTGGTCGATACATTTATCCCATAGGAGTCATTAATGTTATGCAGTAATAATGCACTCTTCTTTCTTTCAAATACGTCAACGTGTAGGCTAATTATAAGCAGTAACTGCTTCAATATTGAATGGAAGTCAGATACTTGCTGTGCCACTAAAACAGTGTTAATGATTAGTGAATTAAAGTTTGTATACACTTTAGGTCTTTGTCTTAGAGACAACAAATTCACACAAGACGTCGACAGTTACACAGATGCGGTAATATTGTTTTACGTCTAATTCATTCAGCAACCCGGGGTAAATTTCCTTGGAATATAAGAACAGGAACAATATATGCCGCGTATATTCAGGAGAACAAATTATAGAAGAACAACAAGAGACTTGAAGTGTAGTACCTTCCCAGTTGGCCGCTATCGCTTGCTATCCCGCGACCGTACCGTCTGCTTTCCTGAGTTAAGTGTCCTTAGTGAAATTCATGAAAACAGGCAAATTAGAAGACAAGCGCTCCCCAATGCCAGGATGACCTTTTGCTCTGTAGACTTTAACCCCATTCAAAACAAAAGGAGACATGCGCGAAGAAAGAGAAAGATGCCACGAACTCACTTCTATTAACCTCGATTTATGTAGAGGTTTGGCGTCGCATAGGAGGACACGATCAGTAGTAGATAGCAACTCAGCTCTGGCTACCTACCTGCAACATAGATGCATTATTAAGTTGTATAGTGGTCCAACGGGCCGTGTCCGCATCATGTGTGCTCGTTTCTAGTGTGAAGCCGTGTAGCTTGGGTTACAAGTACGGCCGCGGGATAGAAGCTTCGCCGGGTCGCACAAATCAAATTCGCTTGCATTTTCAGCCGAGCTCTTGCTAGTATATGTCATCGCCTCTGAGCTGAGTTTCTCTTATCTTCGTTGATGTGGCTTGCTTATCCCACATCATCAGCTCATCCTCATTAACATAGATCCACATTACTTCTCCTACTCTTTGATATACGGCTTCTACGCGGGACGGTCGTCTAACATTTTTACCAGGAAAATATCCCATAAAAATTTGCCGCTTCTATATCTTTGCTAATTTAATTTCATACACGAAAAATAATTTGAAAACACTGACAATACTACTACATACCTTTAAAAACGTGCTATTTGTCTTCCTTGATTAATGTAGAAAATAAGTTGTTAGCAATCTGCAATCTTTTTATGGCCAGTCGTATTAATTAAACATATATACACAGATATAAAAGGCTCTAAAGGCTGAAGCTATATGACACGAATATAACTAGTTTCCTTTGAGGCGCAGCTCCGAAGCGAAATGGTATTTTCGTGTTTACGAAGCCGCCATAGTTTAACGAGAAACTTAATTTTAGGTAAGGTATTTTGTTTTATATCCGTCATCTATGACTTGAGTCTGATATAGATTTTACTCTCTACAAAAAATCGAGTGATCACGGACGTCACTCCTCTGGAGAGTGAAAATGTAGTGAAAATATAGTGAACATTCACTCTTTTCTTCATAGAGAGCACTCTAAAATCAATTGATTTTCACTCCTAAACAAGTGATCACGGACGTCACTCCCAAGAAAGTGAAAAAATAGAGTGAAAATTCACTCTTTTTTAAAATTTTGAATTCCTCCTCTTTTTTTATTCCTCCCCCCCCCCCTCTCTCTCTCTCTCTGTCATATTTCTTACTAGAACATATTGGCTATCTTGAATGCATAAGCCATGATTGTGCAATATTATATAATTAGGTTAGGTAAACCATGACTTGTTAATAGGCTTATAGTATGACCCCATCTCAAATTCATTTTTTTTTTTTTTTAATTCTTCCACTAAATGATGAGATGAATACATGTTGATCTGGTCGTAAAGTTTTATCATTTTTAGCCTTTGGACCCGAATTGGGCATGTTAAGGAGGAGAACAAAACCGCAAATTTGGGGATAAGATTGGGTAAAAATAACAACAAAAACATCAAACAACAATAAACAACAACAACAACAAAAATAACAAAAGAAATAACATTAACAACAAAAACAACACAGAGAAGCCTAAAGAAATTCCAACTTTATGAAATAGTCTATAGCCGTTGCTTGATTTTTTTAATTTTTGTATACGGCTTCTCACTGAATTTCTGTAATCATCATAGAATCTAGAATTTCTGTGGGGATAGGGAAAAAATATGAAATAAGCGAAGGATAATACAAGAACACCAGGACTTTTACTACAGTCGCGTCGCCGCAGCTCGGTGCGCTGGCCGAAATTAGCCACCATTTTTGTTGTATGGTTTCTTCTCGGGATCCATCAGAATTCTTGGGAGGTGTGCTGGCAGTGGCCCTGAAACTGGAACCAGACTGGAACACAGAGCTAGCGGAACTAGTCTGTAGATGTTTACTGTCTGACGAATCTTGGTGAAGTGTGGGTAGCCCAGACATGTCACGCTAGGCATTTATCGGGTATTCGCTGGTCATTCGTTGTGGACGCTAAGCATTCTTTGGAAGGACTCTACTATCGACGTTGGTAATACGATCAGCATTCGTTCCTCATTCGTTGGGCATGCGTCTTAAACGCCAGGGAGTTCATATAACACAGATTTTGGCCGAGAATGTGAACTTTTTTTGGCGTTATCTGAACTCTACCAAATTTCGAGAGAAAATAAGTTAGATTTATATTCGCTACTATGTGAAAGAGGCTTTACATCCATACTTTATTAGAGGAAAGTTTCCGAGAAATTGGTCAGAAAGCTATAGAAATCCGTTGTTTAAAGGAGGCTGTTAAATCCGACCCAGCGAACCATCGGGGAATATGTCTCTCAAGTTCGTTTCAAGAAACGTCAGAGAACATCAGATCATATGTTTAATCTGAAAACCACAATTGAAAAGAACGTGAGAACAGACAACGCTAACGAAAAGAGTCGTATCTATTATGTGCTTAGTCGATCTGCGAAAGGCTTTAGATAGTGTATGGCGGAAAGGCTTTTTTTTATAAAATGTTGGCGTATGGAGCCTGATTATTATGTATAAAACTGAAACTAAGTGTGAAGCTGAATGAAGGGATTACCCCATGTTTTGAAACCAATTGTGGTGTCAGACAAGGTTGTACCATAGGTCCTACCTTATTTGACCTTTATCTTAATGACTTTCCACATGAACTAGGAACTATTGATACAGATTATGTGGAATTAAATTGAAAGTTAGTCAACTGCTTAAGCTATGCGGATGACATCGGTGAATTGAGCAGATTAATATAAAAGTTTTGTATTTAGATTATTCAATCATTTCGATATAACCTGTCCTCACCAA